ATCAGTTCCTACGCGATGTCAAAGTTCGCGGTCCGAGCCTTCAGTGAGAGTCTGAGGAATGAAGTGAAACAGTTTGACATCAATGTTGTGGTGATTGAGCCATCGGTTTACAGGTATTTTGTATTCATAATTAATTGTCTGTCAATTATGGCTAATGTATGACATTTAGCACCGGTTTGACTGATTATAACCTATGGATCGATGACTTCCAGACCAAGTGGAAGGAAACCCCGGAAGACGTGCGAAGAGATTACGGACCGGAAAAGTGTGATGTAATGCACGAACGGATCAATGCTGTCATGTCTACGGCCAAAGACAGCCCTCAGGATGTGGTCGACGCGATGCTCGACTCCATAACCACTGCTACGCCTAAACCCTATTACTATGTCTACGGATTGGCCGAAAGGGCTATAATGACAGTCTTGGAGGCACTTCCGCCACAATTCTCGGACTTAGCTCTCAGTGAAAAGCTATACTTCCCTTTAATTAAGTTCTTTAAGAATAAGAACAGAATCTAATCATTAAATTCATGCAATTCTTAACATATTCTTTGTCGACAAGAATTGACAAATTTTTTGCAATAAATTGATTTTTTATAAACGATTAAAGTGTTTGTAATTAAATAAATTAGTAATTATAATAAAAAATGATAAAAAAGTTGTGTTCAAAAAGTTTTGATAACTTGTGATATGAAAAGTAATGCAACGAAAGAGTAATTAATGGAAACAATAATAGAGTGCAGAATAGTGTGTGAAATGCATTCAAATGAATGACATGTGAGAGAGTCGTCGAGTGACCCAAACATACACTCATTGTTTCACTCATTAATCAGTCAATGCTTTCAACAGTCGTTCACAACATTTGCATTGGTTTTGATCACAATTAACGGTAAGTGACACTCATTTGTATTATAATTATATGCATTACTCGATGACACAAACACTGATACAGTAGTTATGCATATGTTTTGACTGAAGAGATCGTGAGATGAGGACCAGAAAGACGAGTGACTCTTTGGCGAAGTCGCCGCCAAAGCCGGACAAAGTGTGCAACAGATGTAAAATACACGCAAAGACATCACTCTTCAAAGGTATCACTCATGCCATCACTCGTACAACTCATACATCCACTCACTAACGGTAATACCATGTGATGACAGGCCATACTAACTGTCCCTTCAGTGCATGCGATTGTGTGAAGTGTGGCGACTATAAGGAGAAGATAAGACACAAGAATGAGAGCGCGAAGAGACTCAGAAACATGAGGAGTCAGCCCAGACCTCAACCCTCACACACCACCACCACATCCAACAGCTCTCGCAATAGTCAATCGACACAAGTCTCCAGTCAGAGGAACAGACGAGATGTTGACCACAAAACGAGTCCGAAAACTAATGGAAAGACGGCTCGTATGAGAGGTCGACCGGCGAGGAAAGTGCTGAAAACGGTGTCCCACGAGACTAATGGTGCTAATAATGACGAGTCTCCCCCACAACTCATAGCTCAACAGCCACTGAATGGTGCGGTGGTTGAGATGAATGGCAATAACGAGTCAGAAGTGGAAGTGGAGGCGCCGTCGATGGTGACGGCGAAACCGTTTCTGTGCGCCCAATACCTGAACGCATGTCAGGACCTGTCGAGAGAGCTCGCGAAGACTCAGCTTTCCTCCGATGAGATAATCGCTGCCTTCAAGTTCTCGACAATAAGGGATTGTTTGGGAAACACAGCGATGGCCGCCGAGAAGATTGCATGCGGTATGACTTGCAGTCCCTTTGACTTCTGGTATGAATACAAAATACCTGTAAACCGATGGCTCAATCACCACAACATTGATGTCAAACTGTTTCACTTCATTCCTCAGACTCTCACTGAAGGCTCGGACCGCGAACTTTGACATCGCGTAGGAACTGATGCCCGGCATTGCTATCCGACCTAATCATCGGTTAAATATTGAGTCAATGTATGAAACAATCATTTCTAGTGTCAATCCAAATACCGGCCAAACTTTCGACGTTCACTATCCGACTGTTTCTGGTTTTTCTAAGTAGAGGCAGAAATGCTTTGGTGACCCTCACCTGACCCATACTGTTCACATCCATCTGTCTCTTGAATATATCGACGCCCTCTCGACCCCACTCTACGGGCAGAAAGTGTAATATCCCCGCATTGTTCACAATAGACCAAAGTTCTGCACAAATTATTAATGTTTTATACGAAATATGAAAATTATATAAAACTTTTTGTTTAGAACTAACTATTGGTTTGGAGATTATTTCTGACAAAATCTACCGCTTCTTTCACGTCTTCATCTTTGGTGACATCGAGTTTTAAAACTTTCAGACGCTTTGAACATGTATTAAGTAAATCTTGAGCTCCCTTTGACTCCGGGTCCAAACACGAGGCAAATACGGTAAACCCTTTTGAGTCCAACTGTTGAGCCAGCAGATTTCCAAATCCAGTGTCACATCCTTTGAAAATCACATTTACAGTATTAATAATAATATTAGTACATTACTTGATTACAATATCAAACTTAACTTATTATCATTACTTAAAACCCTTATCATAAATTTATTATATAACAGTTACTATTTATGAATTTGTTGTTATCTGGTTTTGTGAATAACTTTTTTAATAGTTACGTGACACTTTTATATTCAAAAAATTTAAGATTTACTATGTTTTAAAACTTTTATAGTACCAATATTAAAGAGAATGTTAAATAAAATAAGCTCTTATAATTATATACATTTTCTATTTGTAATATTGGAAATAATTTGTAAATTTATTGTATTCTTCGAATAAATGATCAGGACATAAACGTCAGTTATTTGATGACATTGAATCAAATGTAAAGTAATATAATGAGATAATTATATTATCATCTGTTTTTGTGGTGTATTCATAAAATTAATTTTAAAAAATAATTTATTTAATGCTTGTCTTGACTATGAAAGACTGAATACTAATAAATCCTTGACCTCCATGTTAGAAAGTTATTATTGACTGATTCTCGCTTTTACACATTTAGTACAAGTTTTCAAAGAAGTTTGAATTATTAAGTTTAATTGCTTTAATAGATTTTAAATTTAAAAGTTATTGAATTTATAGATGAAAGGGCAGTTGTAACAATTTAAATAATCATTTCATAGCTTTTTAATAGCTCTTAATGGTCTTATTGAAACTTTGGGAAGTTTTTTGTTATTTGCAATATATTTTAATATTAATAAACATGTTTTTGACGTTCAAAATAAATATGGAAAATAAAATTTTTATAATAATTTATGAAATAATTTGGGATTAACAAATTTATTATACAGTACTTTAAAATATACCGGTAAAACAAATTACAATTATAAGAGTTAATTATGATCTCCTCACTATACATTATATCAATAATTTATTCTAATAAGGTTAAATTAAATTAAATATTTAAACAACTAAATTAAATTAAATTAGTAAATACAATGATAGTGCAAAATATAAACATGTCTTACCTGTTATAAGAATAGCTTTGCGGTCAGACTCCACTCTTTCAACATTTGTATTAAAAGTTTGATAAAGTTTTGTCAATTGCCACGAAAGCCACAAAACTACACAATAGTATCCAACACCGGATAATAACTCTTCAATCCTATTGATTGAACTGATTAACAATATTCCCAGGAATGCAATCCCAAAGTGTTTGAAAACTTCTATATTATTAGACATGTTATTAATTGTTTATAACAACTCTTCACTTTACTTTTAACTTTTAAAATTATTTTTAAATATCGTTCAATTAAATAACATTTTTTGTTTTTTCTAATTATAACAAATCAAAGGAAATCATATCCAATGTCTGGCTTTACTGTAACTAAACAGGAGATATAAGCCATTTGGTAGATGTAATGCATTTACTCCATAACATTGTACTGTATCTCGTCGTCAATTCAACCATCAGTTCCTCTACACAAGGATAACAACTTTAATATCAAAATTCAAATTAATATTAGTCTTGGATTTCGAGATTTTAGATATTGATAATTGGCTTTAAAAATTATTACCATTATCTAAATGTAATCGTTATACAATAACTATTGTTAATTATAGAAAATTAAAATTTTAAATTATTTTTTGTTAGCAGCAATGTTATAATTGTTTTACATCTGTTATCATTTGTATTAAATAAGTAGAGCCAACAATTTTATATCAACTAATGTTACTTTTATAAATATTTTGATTTGTATGACAATGTTTAACATTTTATATAATAACTAATAAAAAAATTTATTATAAATATTTAGAGAGTGCACAGAATTCTATTATTAAATTAAATTTAGTTTTGATATTAAATTAAATTTAGTTTTGATATTAATTAATGATCGTATGAAGCAAATAATGATTGTAAATATTTTAATTTATTAACCCATGTCAAGTTATTAATGAGATACCAAGATAATCTTTTATTCTAGTGTAATAACATTTTTAATATGTGGCACTCAAATATGTTGATATTGCTTGTTAATACAGTAAATGACAACATTTATATTTACATTAATGTTAACAAATTAAAATATTGCATTATGATAACAGAGTTTGGTCATTCGCAATGTTTTAATTAAATCTTTTAATGTGATCTTACTTAGATAACCTGGATGGTTTTTAAAACTGAAGTAAAACAAATTAAGTTCTCCAATAAGCTTGAAAACTGTAAAAACATAGTTTCAAAATTTTAATATTATGAACAAAAATAATTAGTACATTTTCATATTAAAACTACTCCAATCTATATTATTATAAATAATATAAATTTTATATTCAATAAATAAATTTTATATTTCTAGTAGTAATACTGTAATATGCTATTAAATAGACATTTCCACAGTTAACAAACTTTTACAAGGACTAACTGTTAAAGTAATTAATTAATACATTTGTAGCAAAAAAAATTATATTAGTTTACTTTTATAATAAACTTTGCAATAATTACATACCATAAAATCTGATGTATAGTTTTATACAATTATTGACCTCCCAATTAAATCAATTTATTGATAATACTCTAAATAATATTTATAAATGTATGGCTCACGACAAAAGTGTTGAATCGTCAGAATTACGAGAAATTCATAGATGTTTAGCATTCATATGGATTGGTAACAAAAGTACCGACAGAATTGACGCACATTTTTGTATATAAATAGTTTTAAAAACGAGTTAAACAAACTATTTTTTTTATAAAATATATGAGTTTTGTGTTAATGAACTAAATCCTTATGCTATGTGTTATTAATAGCTACCAATTACTCGCACACAACATTTGTAGGATTTTGTAAAGTTTTTAAATTATGCAAAAGAATTTTCTATTTTAAAATAATATAATTGCTTCTTTTTTATGTTTATTGTATTGTGATTTATACTTTATTATTTAATTATTAATTCTTATGTAAATTATTATTGATTTTTAAAATATAAATTTAGTTATTTTTATTTACATTTAATTTAAGTCAAAAATTACAAAAATAAGTAGTGGCCATAATCAAATATATTAGGTTTGTTCAATGTTTATGAACACTTGAGATTATTACATATCTTAAGGTTATTCTCATCATTTGATCAAAACATGATTCACATGAACAGCTATTATATAAAATTATTGAAAAAATAAGTGCAATTTATATTATATTAAAACAAAGAATTCATTCAAATAAATGTTTCCTGTTTTCTATCAATTATATTCGCATAACTATTGGCATAAACTTCTGATTGAATCTCAAATTTTCAAAAAAAATAAGATATTAATAAAATGTACTAATTTTGAAAAATTATATATTATAATTTATAATTTTACAAAGGGTTTAGATTTATTGAATGTTAGTTATTAATTAATTTAATTAAAGTTTAAATAAAACTAAAATTTAAGATAATGAATAACATTGCGATAACTAACTTAAGAATAAACCTATATTTTAAGCCAGAACATTAATTAAAATGACAATTAATTAGTAATTGGAATCATTTAGCAATTAAAAGTATATAGCATAAACGCTAAATAATGAAACTTTAAATAATTAAATCTGATTTATAAAAATAAGCATTGTATAACACTTTATAAAATCAAAATATGCCTTTTATTGGATTAAATAAGAACTTAAAATTGATAAAATAAAGTAAAAATGGTAAACATTATAGAAATTAAGGGTTTATTAGTGATTCAAATTTCTACATTTTATCCTATATTGCAATTTTATAATTGATAGTAGTTTAATTTTAAGAGTTAATGTTCATAATTTAAGATATCTCATAAAATATTACATATATTTTGATAAATGTTTGTAAAATATTATTATATAAGTAGATATTTTATTTGTCAAATTAGAAAAATATAATGACAGTACAATTACTAAATCTTCATGAATTCACAATTAATGTCAAAAAAGTATAAATGAATTTATGTTATTACACTCTATTATTTATATAACATTAATATGTTGATTAATATAACATTGATAAGTTTTCTATTTAAACAAATTTTGCGAAATTTAAACAAATGTTTGTTGAACTCATTTGGTGCCAACGATTACGAACTTCTGGGCCTCTGTTTTGAGATATAAATGAGTTAACAAATGAATCAACATTAGTAGCCTGGTCATACAAACCGATGAAACTGAATGTGCCGTTATTACAGCTCCTGTAGCACCGATAGGTACACTTGCCGTGATAGCAGCCTATGAGTCGAGTTCGGGCACATGGAGTGCATTCAAACGATGGGTCGGTGTTTGATAAAACCCGATAATTATGCGACAAATCAAACATAAAAAGCAGTAATAAAATGGTAGTGAATATGAATATCTTTTTCATTTTGGAGACTTTGACTTCAATTCGACTTCAAATCTAACGCT